GTACTTTCCCCAGACTTCTGGGGCAAGTACTGTTAGCAAGAAACTTATCAAGGCTGGCATGAGCAGTGGGTGGCCAGCATCACGCCTGGCCTACTTTATCTCCCCGTTGCTGATGTTTACACACGGCTCCCGGTTGGGGGTTGACTGGGCGCGGCGGTGTCGACAAAGGCGGAGCCAGGATTTTCAGGTAGGGGGGGCAACCCCTCCAGCAATGAAAAATTATAGAGGAGTTGTTAGTAAGTAAGGACTTGTCCCTTGCTTTTTATTCGACGCGTGTGCGACAATGGCGCAGCCATCGATCGAGGGTCGAATTCGAACCGCGTTGTGTGATCGGCATCGCGCTCGCTGAAGGTGAATGCCTTCAGGGAAGTCGTGTCCTGTATACGCAACTGTGCACAATTCTGTGAGTCACTTATAACTGCTTTGCCGTTACTTATTGCCAATTATGGACTCAGACTATTGTCCTATCATCTCATAGAGTCCCTGACACGTAATAATATGCTACACAGTGGCAGTGGGGGTCACAAAATGCCGATTTATTACTAATAAACCCCAATGATTCGATCAAAATTAGGGATTTCAATCAGATCATTGGGGGGGCACGTGCCACCCCCCCCCCCCCCCCACTGGCTCTGCCAGTGGGTGGCGAGATGGTAACCACCTCGCCTGGTATACAGAAGGTTGTGGGTTCGATCCCGACCCTGACGCCTGCTGCTGTATATTTGGAGTTTGCGTGTCTCTCTCCCCGTGGTCGCGTGGATTTTTCTCCGGGTCCTCCAGTTTTACCTCCACATTTAGAATCAACGTGCGTTCAGAGTATTTGGCTGCTATAAATTTTCACGTGATAAGCCACTTTGTTGAGCTATCATTTGTGATAGCCAGGTCGCTTCTGAAAAGCAGCTACTATATGGCTCAGTGGGCCTTACCTGGTAAATAAAAAAAAATAAAGACTATAGTTTTAGACTCGGCCCAGCATCACTCTGGGGTCAATGGAATGAGCAATGTATCACTTTGTGGGGAATTAAATGTTGGTTCAATGGAGAGACTCGCCCCCGCCATAGGAATGAGGAGTTGTCACCACCGGCTAAGCGCTGTAAAGAGCAGATGAGCACCACAAGTTCTGTCATGGGGGTGAAGACACGTGTGCACTGTACGAGTACAGTATGTATGAACCTCTACACGCGACGTGATAACAAGAGAAGCTTACGCAGTCATTTCCCTAAAAATATGAAATTGGCAACAAGCAAAAAGTGGAACTTAAATTTCCCAGTGTCACCGAAAAATAATTAATCTGAAGCAAACATTTTTTTTTGAATGGTTTCACCTATATATTAGTCAACAAGCACGAGTCCAGTTATAAAAAATATGTAAAAATAATGACCAGCCCGTTGTCAATGCACTCCTGGACGGAGGCTTCCCTACACCATGCTGGTCAGTGTGGTTTGGTTGAAGGGGGATGTCCACTACTCGTTTGGATATCATTCGCCACTGATGATAGCCATGACGATGAATCAAACTCAGCGTTTGGAGCAAGGTCCAACTAATACCCAACATTAGGGCTGCCACCTTTACCACTGTAAACCCAACCCGGCCATATAACTCCGTCAGCCTAGGTCAGGGGTTGGCAATCAAAATTAACAAGAGCAGCATTTTTATTCGAATTCTGTAAATAAAAACGCAATCTTTCAAGAGCCACAATGCACGCTGTGAATGTGAGATGGTGCTTAATAAATAACGTAACGAAGCAGTCCTTAAAGAGCCGCATGCGGCTCCGGAGCAGCAGTTTGCCGACCCCTGGCTTCGGCCTACCAGAACTGTGCAGTATGCTGCGATATGGTTCAAGATCTCGTTACAAACTAAATCTTGCCCTTAACACAAATGCCATTTTCCAGACTGTCCAGGTCAAACCCATGCCTGGGTTGCAAGGACAGGTGGCAACCCTAACCCTTCAGTCAGCACAGTCTCACATTTAATTTACGGAGCCTCACTTCACATCTGCAAACAATCTCAGAAGATGGCATGATGCAACGAAAGATGGCAATCCTTCACGCTGTGTGAACGGCCGTTTACCACGAGTCTCACAAAAGTGAGACCTTTCCTATACCTCTACGACCTTTACTGGCCAGCACTGAGAAAGGTGAAGCAACACAGAAAAAAATAATGTGTGGTTTGACACTGCCAATGGTTAAACTGGCGACACACGAGAAGCTAAATTAACCACAGGTGGCTTTTGCTCAGGATTAATCCCTGGATCCCAGTGGGGTTGCTCCAAAGACCTCCTCTGCCACAAGCAGGGAGTCCCCTGAGCGACCCAGACACCGGCCAATGAGGACGGATGAGACCCTGGTGCTGTGACATTTAATGGCAACGGAATTAATAACACCCCGATGTAACAACGGTCACCATGGTTTCGCGCATGAAGAAGACGAAGAATTTCACCTGGTTCAGTAATCGGGAAAGCTATGGCACAGTAGGTTAGCGCACTGTGCGATGAATCCTGAGTTTGATTCCCAGCCACGGCTAGCATTATTGGCAAGCGATGCCTCAACCTCTTCCAGGGGCCTCTTCACAAACCATGGTCATACAAACCCCATGAGCAACAGGCCACAAGGCAGAGGTCGCAATCGGGTACCCGATACCCGTACCCTATCCGATACCCGGCTACCCGTACCTGTACGGGTACGGGTACCCGTTTGCGACCCTGGTGCGGCCGGGTACGGGTACCCGCACGTGACTCACCCCAACCAATGAGTGAGAAGGCCGTGAGTCACTGGTGAGTAACCGTTTGTCACTCATTTCCTAACAACTTGTATCTTCTCACAATTCAAGTTCCTAGAATCAACCCATCCGCGCCTGCAACATGGCTTCATCCCAGAGGTCGCAATCGGGTACCCGATACCCGTACCCTACTCGATACCCGGCTACCCGTACCCGGCCGGGTATCGGGTAGGGTACCCGTTTGCGACCCTGGTGCGGCCGGGTACGGGTACGGGTAAGGAATCAAAACCCGTTTGCGACCTCTGCCACAAGGAGGCCTTCATCCAACAGTGGATTGACAAAAAGTGCTGTGAATTGTATACTACTCTATATGAAACCAGCAGTTTCTGATTTATTCAATCGTAACATAAGCCCATAAAGTCGTGCCAAATTGGGCACCAGCCACCGAGCTATGACAATGGAAATGCATTGCTGAAAGAGGAATCAGATAACCTTTGTTTAAACCGGACAAGAGTCCCTTGGGGCAATAAACTGTGCCTGTTTTTTGAAGGACAGCATGGGTGAAACGCGTCACAAACACACAGAGCATATTGGCAGGGTGTGCGCGTCAGAAAGTTGCCAGACGGTCACTTCCCACTTCCTTCCTTTATTGAATCACTTTCTCACCCGTGCAGGTGGAGTCCGATAAGATGTTTCCGTCACAAAAGCCATTTTATTTTATGTTTAAAAACGCCTTGATGCAACGAGAATGCGAACTTTGCACACTCGCACATGTCAACAGAGTGGCGAACAAACGTGCGTGCCCGTCAGCTGGAACGCACACACGCGCATTTTAAGTGAAAACACCAGCACACTGTATGAGAAAGCCAGGCCGATTTAGTCACGAGTCATAAAAAACACATTCCTGCGGAGGGAGCTGGTAGGAACGTTGGGTTGCTCGGTCAATGGCCAGGGTTAACGGCGGCGTGGTGTATTCCACAAATATGCCCGACTGTGAGGGCGGGCACAAGCCGGCGTGAGTAGGTTAAACGTTGAGTTTTATAAGGGCACCACGAGGTGACCAGCCCCTCCCCACCCAGCCCCACCCCTCCCACCCAGCCCCTCCCTACCCAACCCCTCCCCACCCAGCCCCACCCCTCCCATTTTTGGATGCACGACGGATAGACGGACACAATAATCCCCTGTGGGCTGGTGTAACCAGGAGGTTCCTACGAGTATAAACATAAGCAGGCGTTTCATGATTCCGCTACCCCACCTTTCCCGCCACCCGCGACCGATTCGATCAACTGTCACGACTTGGGAAGCGCGATTTGATTCAAGAATAACTCACAACACCGTGGTGAATGTAGCGGCTCCAGGTGGCTCCATGAGCCCTTCGCATGCGACACTGAGAAGTGTGAATTTTTCAAAATACGAGCACTGCCCACGGCCGGCGCCGAAGGTGGGTGGGACGGAGGCGTGACATCAGCGCGACGCACAAACCCGTGCTCTACGCGGTGGGATGCGGGTGGCATCATCGCGCCATATGTGCACTGTGGCGTCACCGCTGCGTACCAGGCAGCCAGCAAAATTTTTTTCGAATAGAATATAAAATTATAATGGTGCTGCATGGTGATCTGTGAAACATTCCTTTGAGGGTTGACAATTGTCCGTGGGTCCATTAAGGTTAGGAACCATCAGTGTGCGCTATGACGATATAAAATTGCAACTACGTGCTATAAAAATCTGAATTGTATTGATGCTCATCATTATTGAGTTCTGCATTATATACTTGTGCGTCAAACCAGAACCCACATCTCGCGGCAAGAGCCCTTGTCGATAAATATCTGGCAGTTCACCAGCATTTGTAAAGCGGAACTGTACTGATGCAACACTTACATGTCAAAACCGATCGGTATTTTTCTCGTGATGAAACAATGCTGCTGAAATTGTGGATTGTCAGAAGGCCTTTTGGCTGATGAGATGTGTAATTTTTTTCATGTCAAGTAAAATATGCGCCAGTTTCAACATTCACATGTGAAAGTGTAAAACTGTCTGCTTATAGCCAATGAGCCTAGACAAGATATTTTACTGGTTGGTACCACCAGAGGAGTTCATTATGCAGCCAGTAACAACAGTGAATGATATTAAATTAGTGGATTATCACATAATTCACTCGTATTAGCCACGGATATTAAGCCTGTACCGGTGCCACCCGAGGTGGCAACGGTTTCCACTTTGGCCCCATGTGGCTGTCATTGGAACTGTATTGGCCGGCAGGAGAAGCAGGGGGTGGCACTTGCCTGTACGTAGTTCTCAGGCACGATTCCTCGCTTGTTCTCCGCATTCTCCACCTCGATCCAGCCGGTGCCGCTTCCCTGTCGATCAGAATCAGAATATAATCATTCACACTGGAGGTATCCCGATGAGCTATTAAGCGCTTTTTCACAGATGTCCAGTAGGGGGCGGGTCAGATCGTTACAGCGTAACACAATAGGAGTGCAGAAAGGTAAACACATCACGAGAAAAAATAATAATTTTTATCTTACTTTTTGGTTCTTTCGGTAAAGTCACGTAGAAAGAAAAGAAAATAAATAATAGAATACGACGTTTCGATTGCAACACAAGCAATCATCATCAGGTACGGATGAATGAGAAAAAAACAAACCTAGTAAACTCAGAAATATAATGCAATACAACACAGAAAGTCGGCTAACATAACAGTCAACACCCTGGTACATTGCTTGTGTTGCAATCGAAACGTCGTATTCTGTTATTTGTTTTATTTTCTTTCTACGTGACTTTACCGAAAGAACCGAAAAGTAATTCCTGCAGTCACGAAAGCTCCAAATCAAGTTTAATCTTACCCGGTAAAGTCCATTGAGCTATTAGCTATTTTTTCTGTAGTCACCTGGCCACAAATGAGAGCTCAACAAAGTAGCTTATCATGTGGAAATTTATAGCAGTAAAATAATTTTAATAATCAAGGTTGATGCCGCTGCAAGTATTAACCGTGAGCCAGCACCACGACAGGATTGCACTGCGCTTCTAAACCCAGCAAAGCCATGCTGAGTCTCCCGAGACTTTTGCAGGAGGGTGCTGCCAATTTTTCGTAGCAGAGGGCGATAATTGAAATGTATATTTCACATGAGTAATTATATGTGTGTATATATATGTGTATATGTATACACGGTATATAGTGTAGCCGTAGTGTGGCGGTTCGCGTGCTGCGCTACAAACCCGGCGACCCAAGTTCGATTCCCGCTCACGGCCAACACCAGTGACGATTATCCGAACCGGTCCTGGGCCTCCCCTAGGTCGACTCTTGCCTCAAATGAATACCTGGTGCGGTGTGTAAGCATCGCCATTAAGGAGACAAAGGTGCTTGGCGTGGTGCTGGCCACCCACCCCCTCGTGTGCCAGGCCGGCCTTCATGGGTGCTCGCTAACAGCACTTTCCCCAACAGTATATTAAGGCTATACTGGTGATCTTTGTATTTTTATACATATACATTGCAATTACCCACCACCTGTTAGGCAAGAAGGAGAGATAGCAGGTGGTTAAGTTGCATGCTCGTGACCTTAAGGGTTCTGCAAAAAATGCCACCCCCCCCCCCATCTCTCTCCAATGTGCAGGCTGCACCAAAACAATTAAAGGTCGTGATTCAACCTATTGCAAATGTGTAACGAGCGACTTCCACGACACGTCGTGTAGAGGGTACTTCTTCACTATTCCTCACACTGGGCACAACACAGGCCAACACTTATTCTTCCTCACACTGAGTACAACTCGATATTAACGTCTCTACTGGCTACACTCAGCCGATCACTCGGCGTGGTCCCACCGCCCTCACTCGGCCACGCCGCTGGCTGGCGGCGTGACGATGACGGCGATGGAAACCACGCAGGAGATCTTCCGTGTGGCCGGACGACGGAGAGAGATGTCGGCGAGCAGCGACGCAGCCAGGACCCTAGACCCCACACACAAGCCCCGAGCCACGGGTCCGCTACCCCTTATATCCCCCCAGGCCCTCTCGTGGAACCTTCGAGCAGGTTCCCGAAGTTTCTCTGCTAACCTCACCTGAGACCTTTGCCCCAGATACACCTCCCTCTCTGATTGGTTGTTACTTAAGCGTGCCCGTACCCGTGATTCCCCTTCCAGGCCAGCAGGTGTCACCCTGTCATTACAAATGTAACGACTGTCTATTCAATTTGGAGTGACAACAAAGGGGTAGAATGCATCCGACAGGAAGCCTACAATGGAGATGGAGTGAGAAAATCAGCTCGTGTGCAGGTGCTGGTTGGATTATTGCATCGTAAGACTGCCAGGGATGGCGACAGTTTGAGGTAGCCCTGCATCCAGCAGTGGATTGATTATAGCTGACAATTATGATGGTGACATTATTGTAATTAACGGCATGGTATTTACGATATTCCTTTAATCATGCAAAAATGATAAGTTCCTTTGAAACTTTACGTTTTAAAATTTTAAAAAGTTCTCGCAATGAATAATTATTATTTCCCTTCTACGTGACTTTACCAAAAGAACCAAGAGTATGAATCCCTGCAGTCACGAAAGCTTTAAATCAAAATTTAGGGTAAATAACTTTGGATTTTTTTCTATACGTTTGACTGAAGTGTGTGCTAGGAATTGCACACACTTGCATAAAATTAAGATGCTGTAATGATCACCGCGTTGGAGGGCAGTATATTTGTTGGGAGTTGGCACACATGTGTGTGTATGGAAACACCATCTGGCAGGCTTGAGTGGTGTGCGGGAAATAATATATGTGGAATGAGCCTGGCTTACTGATGTACCGCTCTCTTTGGGGAAAGGAAACATGCTAATGGTTATCTTGTTACGCTTGTTTACCCAGAAAAACCTGACTCCTTTTTTCATGATGGTCCTGCAATGTTTTCACGGTAGGCGGGGCGGGCGATGATCGCTACATACACTCCAATCGAGTGACGGAAAAAAAGAACAGGCTTTAACCCCTTTATGGCAATAAAATAGGAGGCACTAAGTTGTTCAAACACCAAATAGATACCTATTTCAAGGTGTTAAGTCTGCATTAACCACACAATTGTGTCAAAACATGCTCTAATAATATATGCCTTGTCTTTGAAACTGATTGCCCTACCCCGGAGACGGCCTTCTTTATGGCCTTGTCTCACCAGCATTAGACAATTTTGCTAATTTGGACAAAGGCCGACTCTTACGAATGATTCCACAGGTATCTTTGAACGTCCACTGTGACACAAACGGCGCGTGTTTTTAAGAGTTAATACAACCGAAGCATTAATCAGGGCTGCCCGCTAGATTTGAACCGCAAATTTCTGCAACAAGTGGCCAATGGGCTACCGCTCGGCCACTCCACCAATCCACTATGTGCATTGCGGATTCCATAAAACTGGAAAAACAACTTTGTACAAGTGCAACGAGCGCTCGGAGTGTAGCAAGCAAATGCCGTTACTCTTAAAAAAGTGTAAAATGCCCTATTCACATAGACCATGCTTCCCGCACAGAGGACTTGTTGACAGCAAGGTGGTCTGCATAACCCAGCACGGAGTAAAAAGAGTGGATTCTGGAGCCTGGCCTTGGGATAGTTTGGCCCCGTGTGCCATCCGTGTCTACTCCGCGCCGGGTTATGGCGTTTGCACATAGAATGCGTGCTAAGCGAGGCAAGTCTCAACACGTGGCATGGAGTACATAGAGATGACTCTGGAGTCAGCACCGACATGGAACGTGGAATTTGCAAGGTGGTTATTGGCCTACTGTGCCTACTGTACTACACTACTGCTGCAATACAAATGCTGTACGGTATTTTTAGTACGATGATGATTTATAGCACTCATAATCTTTCCACTGCTGGATGAGAATCTATAGACTGCTGGAAGAATGCCCTCTATGCCATCGCAATCTCTCACGGGCTCACGATGCAACACTCCATTTGGAGGATGCACGCGGGGTTATGCCATTCATTGCTCCATCTTTGCGGTGGACGTAATCTCAGGCGGATTTCCTCTTTGGGCTTCCACTAAGCTGTTGGCATCAACCACTGGATATCCTCCCTTCTAGAAATGATGTGTCATGCCCAAAGCCCACTTACTGTTTTGAATTCCAGTACCATGCTGATCTGTCTCCCACTCTTTTATTACTCCATCTCTCTGGCATCTCTGATTAGTTTGCTATGAAGAAGAGAACTGTAGCCTGATACGTCACCTATCACATATCTTTCCTGGTAAGACCACATCGCTATTGACAAACGTGTTGCGTGTTTTTTGTTGTTGTCGTCTCCCTATGTCGCTTTTCACATCCGCATATAAAAATAGTTATTAATTGTACAGCTCTCCGCAGAGCAACTCGCAACCTCCTCCTCTCGACAGCAAGGTCCTGGATCATCACTGCTGGGTGTCGTTTCTCCGTGTCAGCCCGCGCCGTCTGGAACAGAGCCATCATCATCGTCCCACTGCTGCACATTCGCAGCAGCATTCAATCTACACTGACTTTTAAGATACGCTTAGAGGCCCCACCTCTTCCTTAAAGGCCCCACCTATTTATTTTGGCACTCGAGCAGCAACACTCAGCTTGGCTCCGCAGCTCAATCGCGGTCGCTTATGTCTGTGAAATATTGTGCACGTTATAAACCGCACTATTATTAGTATGCTCCTTAAAGCACTTGTTTTGACATGGTGGGATTTAACTCGGCTCAACCGCTATTCTACGCTTGCTCATGGCGATATGTTTAGGAGCTAGATGCCAATGTCGAGGTATACTGCCCATGAGAGGGCTTCAGGAGAGAGAGTTTGTGCAGTTTTTCTTTTCCTCTATTGATGAAGCGCAGACTACGATAGTTTACTATCCAGTCCATAATTGCATGGGCTGCATGGCCACAGTCGGACTGCGGCTTGTCTGTAATTTACTTTTCACGAAGGTGACGTGCACAGCGGCCAGTTGATGGGGTTCCACCGCTGACACCGCAGGCCACTGACGCCGCTCGGTGGCCGAGCTGTAACGTTTTGAGATGCTTGTGAAATCACACAGAACAAATAACTCCCAATGCATTCGTCAATAACGCTGCCCTAAAAGAAATGGGTGATGCTTGGAGCAATGGTCCTTCTTCTTTGCACATAGAGCGGCAAGAGAGCATCTTTTTTAATGCAATTTTCATCAGTTATTGTTTTCATTTGGTTTGCGTGCTTTAAAACTATTACATAAGTTTTAGCTGAAAAAGACAGAAGTCAGCAAAATAGGCTAATGGCAGGGCACCACTATTTTGTCTTGGCTTGCAAATGCTGTCGTCATTGTTGTTGTTGATTGCGAATGCAGTTATGGTTTTTGTGATTGACAAAATCAGACTGAGAAGATACTCTTCGGCAGGAGATGGAATTAGACAAGCTGCACGTTCAGTTGATTTGTTCAGGCGGTAAGAGTGAGCGGCTTGCGATCTGGAAGTTGCGAGTTCAAATCCCAGTTGAGGGGTTGACTCAGCTCATCATCCCTCTGGAAATAAGCAAAATGAATATCACTTTTCTGCGGGGAAGTCAGAATTAGAATCTGTATCGATACCGGAGAAATCTGACAAGCTATAAAGCTTTTTCTCAAAGATGCCGAGTATGGGCAGGTCAGAAAGTTACAACAACAAACAATACAAAAACACGATAGGAGTGCATAGGAAAGGTAAGCAAATCACTAAAATAAATAAAACGAAACTATTTTCTTTTTTAAAGATTATATTTCAGAAGCAACCTGGCCACAAATTATCGCTCATCGAAGTGGCTTATCATGTGGAAGTTTATAGCACCCTAATAATCTAAGTCAACAATGGTTGTTTTGTAGATAAACTCACCCCTGCCATAGCAACGTGGAATTTACACCACTGGCTCAGGGCTGTAACCAGAAGGCGAGCACCAATGCCTCAATGTTCATTTGGGCAGGCAATCATTGAGACTTTTTTTTAACTGCAACTACACCACCACAAGCTGATTTTTTCCATTACAACTTTAGTCCAGTTGCTCCCCAATACAATTAGTGCAGCTGCACTGAACTTCAGAGTCACGCTCAAGGGGAGGGCGGCAATAAACGGGAAGGGTGTTCAATAAAGTTACCGTACTCCTGTGCAGCCTTAGGGCTCAGCATCGCTACACGGCAGCGCTGTAAAGTCGAATGTTACTTCCGAATGGCATTTTAAAAGCAACTGGCAAGAGCATTATAACTGTGTCGAATCTGGTCATGCGTTCGTGAGGTGTCCGATGTGTGGTCCAGTGTCAGTGTCCGCCTGTGTGAGTGTGTAATGGGTAGCGGTCGGCTGTTGTGTGACGAACAAATTGCATTTCACTGCATTCCCAACGGCAACTCTGTAGTAAAAAAACTAACTGGCTCACGTGAGAGTTTTGACGTGGAAAATAAAAGTTTGCCAACAGTCGTAATGAACCGGTTCCATCGGGTGGATTAATTATTGCAACGTTTTTAGGGCCGAAACATTTAAAATCGTTTTATTCCGTAAAAAATATTCAGTTAATTTTTTTTACGTATGCTCATGGAAAAAAGTGCTTGTGTCTTTCTATTTCTGTGTCTAAACACCTCTGTCTTACACGTCTCCTTGTCCCTTTGCGTCTACATAATTTCCTCCTCCCCGTATCTGTGTGTTTCTGTGTCTGAGTCCCATGTCTCTCCGTTTGTCTCTGTCCGTTTGTATCTTCGTGTCTCTCTGTATGTATTGCGTATCCATGTATCGCTGTGTCTCTTTGTCCCTCTTTGTGTCTGTAGCTGAATGAACCAACAGCAGTGTGGCGACATCAACAGCATTGTTCATGACGTCTCTTCTGTTGCCAATCCTATGCAAAATCCTATTGTATAATGGACTATTTAAGTAATTTGCATACAGTAACATCTGTTCCCTGCTACAGGCAATGTTTATGTTCATGCTGCGCACTAGTCACTTCGTTTCAACTTCTCAACAGCAATACCGCAAATTCCTGCTGCTTTAAGACTCCGTTTTACTACCGCTGTGAGTTCGTTTACAGTTACAATTTTTTTCCAAGGCTTCAGCATTCGCTGCAACTTGCTGGTGCTTTTCATCGATTCTCCTGAGTCCGGTTGGTTCCCCTCTGTTCTAAAGCTGTTCTAAAGCTGGCTAAACCAGCTCTGACTAACCTCCAACAGTGTCCTCTTTTCTGAAAGTTGTCTACTGTGGCCGCTACGCTTCACTGGGCTTAGAACTCGTCTTGCCACACAAGACAAGATCCTCCTTAAAACGAGCCTCGAGTCTCGACGAAGCTTCCCAAACACATAATAATATTACAACTTGGGTGTGTAAAATGTTAATTAATGCATTAATTAACATATTGATTGCCAAGCTCAAAATACGTGCGTCGAATCGTGCACGTGAGAAACTGTGATAATTCGAGCAAATTGCAAGTAAATTCTACCGGCAGCTCCACAATTTCACTTGGGCATAGTATGTCAACCGCTGAGCACTATAATTCATACAGACATTATTTTCCCACCTTTCTGAGTGAACATGTCTTGAAATGCTCATAAAATACCACGGCGTTGGACGTACTCAGAAGAACGGACTAACCATCCATGCATGTTTTCAGTTTAGTGACTACGTTAAGCCATATACTTCTGCCATAGGTAAACTGTATTTCATAAAATTATCGTCACATTCATCATGACACGGAAAACAATGGCTTACAAATTTTGCATCTAAGGTTGCCTAAATTGTGGAATTGCCAGTCTGTTAGTCAACTCTAAGAGTTTTTTTCTCAGTCCCTCTTTCTGAAAGCATCTGCCATATCTTCTTCCTGCTTGCACCAGCATTCAGCCCCATCCTGAGCCAGTCTCCCAGTCATTGCCTGCCTCTGCCCTTCTGACCTACCTTGCTGCTACACTCGTCCACAGCAGGTGCCTACGTGTGTGCCGGAGGGAATCTCCGCGGCTCTAGAGTGACACGCGCGAGTGCCGCTTTGGTGGACAGGGCCGGGAGAGAGAACGCGGGAGCCGGGCACATACCTGGGCGACGATGGTCAGGATGTCTCCCTCGTTGACCGTCAGCTCACCCTCAGCCTCCGCCGTGAAGTCAAACAGGACCTGGGCCTACGCACGGGAGGGAGCGCGGGGCGGGGATCACATGGTGGTCAGGCAATGACGTTTTGATGAAGCGGCAGAATAATAACCAAGAGGTCATTGGTTACTCGCGAACGCCTCTTCTTTCGTCTCAAAATATAGGTCACTAATATATGAAGTAAGATGCCAGAGCTGCTTGGAGTGATTCTGTGTCTGCAAGGCGCCAGGGTGGCAAGATGTTAACTACCTTGCCTGGTATACAGGAGATCGTGGGTTCGACCTCGACCCTCAAGCCTATATATTTGGAGTTTGCATGTTCTCCTCGTAGTCGCGTGAATTTTTCTCCGGATCCTCCGGTTTTTCCTTCCTAATTTAGAAACACGCTTTCAAAGTATTTGGCTTTCATACATTTCTAAGTGATGCGCCACTTCGCTGAGCTATCATTTGTGGCCAGGTTACTTCTGAAAAAGAGCTACATAGCTCAGTGGGCCTTACCTGGTTAAATAAGAAAAAATTGTTGAGTTTTTGTTTAGTTTTTTCCCTCGCATGGCTCGACTTTCGAATGCCCTCCCATCGTTTCGTTACCCAATCCATCATAAGAACCTTGCTCAATTCGTAAATCCAGGGATTTAGGAGTTCAATGCCTGATGAAGGCTCACAGCAGTTTGAGCTAAACGTCATTGTACATTGATGATAAACTCAGTCAGGCCACTGGTGAGTAGCTTTATTGATCAGAATTAATATAATGGGACGTGCAAATAATATCTGTAAACGTGACAATCTTGTCGGGTGGTGGAGGGGATTAATGTCCAATAGTTTGGCATAAAACTACCAACCAAAAGCTGATACGGATAATTGCATTGGCTACAGAAACGTATGTTTTAAGCTCACTAACAAGTGAATCTCTAACAGTGGGCTCTACACAAGCCACACAAAAGAATAACACTGTGCCCCAGCATCAACGAGGCTTTTTGCCAGGGAAGATTTTGAACTACACAGAGTTGAACAACACACAGCAGCCAGGGCTTATTATATACTCATTCACCGGCGCAGCTCACAAATTCACCCAACGGGCCTCTGTTGAAGCCCTTAAAGTATTAGCGGACTTATAAAAAAAACAGCCAACAGATTTTGACGATTACCGTATTTTCCCGCATATAGCCCACATACGCATATTACCCTCAGACGCATATACCCCGCAAAAATAGCGTTTTGTGTAAAATAAATTTCAGATACTGTAGTCCGCATCGTCATATACCCCGCATGTAACGTCGTTACCGCAGCTTAGTTCCATCATTTAATACAAAGTTTACATTTGTAATACATTCCACTATCAATTGTTAACAATAAAATCATAACGTGCGCAAAGAAAACAAACTAACCGGAAACGAGTGAACTTAAAACAGTAAATAAGTAACAAAAGTAAACATCCAATAAATAAGTAACACAATAAATGGTAGATAAGTAAGCGTACTGTTTGGCTTACCAGCATTCGACCTCATCATATTACAGCTACCGTGGTCTTTTACCGATTGTAAAGCTTAACAACGGTGAATGAGATTGGCAGATGCGTTTATTTAATAAACATTGTCATTGATTAGCTCAACCAGTGGCTGTGTCAGAACAATGAGCTAGTACTTCTGACATCTTCGCTGAATCTGGCTACCCGGTATTAAACACAGACCTCATGAGCAGCCAATACGTATGGGCTCACATATGGTGTTCATATTACACACCTGAACATTGAATGCCTAAAGGCGCCCATATGACGCAATTATGACACCTACACTTGGCTAGTCATGTTTTATAAGTCAGTGTTTATGCTGGAGCCTCAAACAGCCACAATAATCAACTCTACCGATGTTCCTAGTTAGCGCTCAATATACAAACATCCATACTAAGGCAGGTGCAGCCTTTTTAGGGTTCAGAGTTTATGCTCAAGAGAGCCAAACTATGACAGCTTTATGAAGCTTGGTCACACAAAAACCCTCTTAAAATGTTATGATTTGTAGTTTAGGGGCCGTCCATAAATGACGTCACGCACCTAGGGGGGGGGGGGTCAGACATTTGTGACGATGTGTGACGAGGGGGAGAGGGGTTTGAGAAATGTGACGTCACATTAAAATGCGCAACTTTAAATAACTAGACTTTTCAATGTTTTCTTCGAGAACATCAGAGTGCAGCGGCACATTAGATACGCACTACAATGACATTAGTTTAAAGCGATTTGAAGCATCTTCTTGGTTCTTTCGGTAAAGTCACGCAGAATGGAAATAATAAAATAATAAAAATAAAACATAATTATTATTTCCATTCTATGTGACTTACCGAAAGAACCAAGAAGATGAATCCCTGCAGTCACGAAAGCTTTAAATCGAGATTTGAAGCATGTTTTATTTTGGGGGGGGAGGGGGCAGAGCTTTGTGACGTCATATTTGAGGGGGGGTCTGACTTTTTGCGTGACGAGGGGAGGAGGGTAAAAAAATCGTCCAAAATCGCGTGACGTCATTTATGGACGGCCCCTAATCTGAAAGAATGCTCGGTGCTATTTCCGCTATGATTTACACTGTCGGTATTGAAGGCACGGCTGTCTTGAGGCAGATGCTCATAATTACGTGGAAGGACCCGGGGGATAAGGAATGCAGACGCCTAAGAATAGTGGCGTAGATAAGATTCGGTGGCAAAAAGTGTTCCGGTGGGTCGGACGTGTGCAGGGTGAAGGAGGGCCAAATGCCGGCACAGGAATTGGAGTGGTTCAAACTTAATTTGGAGCTTTCGTGACTGCAGGAATTATTCTTTGGTTCTTTCGGTAAAGTCACGTATAAAGATAAAATAATAAATTAAATTAAATACTAGCATACGACGTTTTGATTGCAACACAAGCAATCATCATCAGGTATGAATTAAATAGAAACACAAATCTAGTATACTTAGAAATGTAATGTAATACAACAGAGAGTCGGATGACATAACAGTCAACACCCTATCTGGTTGATTACGTTCTTCCTGAGAATGCTAAATTTGAGAGAGAGATTAAACACAGAACCAGAAACATAGACAGACATATAAGCAGACAGATATCACAGAGATACATAGAGAGAGCGCAAACATAGGCACAATGAGAAACTACGCCTCTGTGTCGAGGCCTTAAATAGAGAAAGGGGGGGGAGAGAGGGAGGGGTTAGAGAAATTAGCATGTCCATGAGTGGAAACGGTGAGTGGCAAGGTGTAAAACGTCGTATGCTAGTATTTAATTTAATTTATTATTTTATCTTCATACGTGACTTTACCGAAAGAACCAAACAATAATTGGATTGGTTCTCCACGGGTCGGGCAATCAAAGGGGAAGCATAAGTAAGACCAGATGGTGGCCTCCAGGTTTGGCAGATCTTGGGAGCCCGCGGATATACTGTGCAGTAGAAAGAGTTGGCGGTGGCCATCAATAGTTTTGGGCACGATGGCCGTATTTATCTTGTTCTTTTATCAAGGTAACCGCAAGGTGACATCACCATTCGTTTTGCAGAATAATTTCTTACAAGTGCCACGATGCATCTTTCATTACGAAAACACACACACATACACACGGTGACTTTTCTTCTTGGTTCTTTCGGTAAAGTCACGTAGAAGGGAAATAATAAAATTATAAAAATAAACATAATAAAATAATTCTCATGACGATTCGGCCACAACGCAAGCAGCCGTCCTCAGGTGAAGAACAGGGCTGTCACCTGATGACGGCTGCTTGCGTTGTGGCCGAAACGTCGTGAGAATTGTATTTTATTATGTTTTATTTTTTATTATTTTATTATTTCCTTCTACGTGACTTTACCGAAAGAACCAAGAAGATGAATCCCTGCAGTCACGAAAGCTTTAAAACGGTGACTGTTGTAAACTGTTTACAGCTTAATTTATAAAGAAGCCCTGTTAAAGCACCTCATGTGAACACAACGTTAACCGCATCAAAGAACACAATAGCGTTCTATCATTACAAATGTCATGCGTCTTTGAAAACGAACACTTTGTAAACTTTTTTAGTTTCTGCCCCAGGCTGATGCAACAAGTTGCATTTGTACGAATATAGCCAGGTCTCAAGAATAACACGACAGATGAGGTGCCAGGCACACTTAAGACGGTGCCACTGTATCACGCGTTCATCCACATCTCTCGCTAACAGCACCCAAATGCCATTTAAAATCATTGATCCAAAGTACTTTCCACTTGCTCTCTGTTGTGACTCATTGCAATATTATTCTAATGCGCATTATGATTTGTGTGCATGTACACCTATGTGCGCTGGAAAAACTACTTCTAAATTTATCCGTTTGCTGCATCGGGCATTTTTTGTTCGTATAGGGTATATGGAGACGTGTACAGTATATGCATAATGATCTGTAATGCTATGCATGGCAAACAGATTTTAACATGTTCCAAAATACGTAAGCAGATATAAATATCTTCAAATATGTCTCTCACCATAAAGCAAAGGATGGTTGATACAACCCATCAGCAGCAAGGCCTTTTGGGAGTGCATAATGTCAGTAGCATTGATTCAGTAAAAGCAAACTCTGGACAGAGTCAGGCTTGCTTGAATCAAAGCTCGTGATCTGCCAGATGTTACAGACAAGGACCCTGTTTTTATGATATTAAGTATTTAAAGATACGGGGAATTGTTTTATATTTAGTATTAATCGTGACACAACAACCGCTATTCGCCACTAAGTGGCGGTGACGTCAGCGCGACGATTGTGCCAGGCCATGTGCACCTTGAGGCCACGTGAAGTGTCGAACGCCCGCTGGCAGGAGGTCACGGGGCAGACCCAGCAGATGACACGGGTCGACTGACTGAGATCACTGAGATGACTGGCTGATGCACCACCTGGCTTTAAAGTGCAATGTGCTAACCAAAGCACCAACACACTACTCATCTTCTTGGTTCTTTCGGTAAAATCACGTAGAAGAGAGATAATAAAATATAAAAGATAATAAAAATTCTCATGACGTTTCGACTGCAACGCAAGCAACCATCATCA